AAATTATATCGATTGTCTCTTTGACAAGTCTTAAATTAGTTGGACTACTGCTAGACTGACGGATTTCCTTTAGCTGTCACAGATGAAGGCAACCGTTGTATACATATTAATAAGCCCTAGCGCACAATTTGTTAGGCAAACTCAGCCCTTAGATGTCCAGTATATCAGAGGTATATCGCATCAGTGCTATACACTGGGCATGTAAAAGAACCAAGGGGTCTATTCAATAAGAGCTACTGGGACTGGTTTCTGGATTCATTGTATACAATGGTAGAAAGGGATAGTAAATGAAAAATAAGTAAGGATATGTGAATTATGTTCATCAAAAACTTCACCAATTCAGCATAAATGTTTTTTAATACTTTGAAATAGCAAATATTACTAGAGCATGTGAAAATAAACAGTCGGCAGGTAGAGTTATGACGATTAAATTGAAGGATATAGGAATATACTGGTCTCGCAGAGCCACCTGTGTCATAGGGTTCAAGTATATCAATTTTTGAAGTAAGCCAGCCAATGGTACATTCATGCGGTCTGACCTGAGGCTCTATAGTGGTGTCAAAGGCTTGTCAGTGTTGATTCCAGCAATAAAGCAATGTTATTCTTATCTTGTAGGAGATACATCCAGAATGAACCTCTTCCAGTCTGTGAACAGTGCAATGGATGTAGCTCTTGGTGAGGACCCATCAGCAGGTGTGTATATGTCAAATTTTAATACTCCACATTTGTAACCTTTATGGCATTTTTCATTGGCTTTAGAATAAGACATTCATATAGTTTTATATAAACAGCTGCTGTCAATTTATGCAGATTCTCATTTTTTTCCTCTAAAAAGGAAGTTTGCTGTATTATGTTATAAAGATTCTTGATACAGGTTATATGGCTGTATATATTGTATGGCTGTGTTTGCAATATAATACTTTATAATATATGAAAACAACTGTTTATATAGTGCCAGATGACCTGTCAAAAATCTTAATGCCTAATAATATATAAAGTTACGTAACAATGACCTAACTGATATTGAAATTCTTTCAAGACATTTTCTCATGTTAAAATTAATTGCAAATTTTTTATTGTCTTCTTATTCCTGATGCAATGTCAACATAATTTATGTTCAGTTTCTTAAAGTGCTATTTTTCTCTTTTTTTTTTTTTTTTTTTTTTTTTTTGGTGAAATGTAAATCCCAATAGTATTTACTGGAATTTAGGTTTATTTTTGACAGAAATACTTTTAAAAATTGTAAAATTCTGCAATATAGTGATGATATTTGTAACTTTTTAAGCAGTGACCAGTTGAAAATAAGCCTTTCATGGTTATCCATTTATTTAATACTGTATATATATTGTCACCTTACTGCAGAAACAGCTTATATCATTTTTTTTTTCAGAAATGTCATCTTTTAAATTTACAGTGTGATATTTGTAATTAGTATGAATGGTATAGTCATAGAAATGTTCGTGAAATTTAAGATACATGAAATGATTTAAATGTGCCATTTAAGTACTTAATGTGAGGAAATAATAGAGGGGTTTTAGTAAGGAAATAATGCAGAGAGGGGCACCTGAGGTCTTCCTCCACCAGTAAAGCTGGAAAGTTGCCATATGACCTCTTAAGAGTTGACCTCTACAGAGTTGACCTCTACATGTGACCTCTACAGAGTTGGTATGATCATACTGATGTAAAACCCTAATTAAAACACACAAAAAGTTGTTTTATAGAGACACTTAATTACAGCTATGTGTTTTTTGTTCATATTCTTAAATAATTAACATGTACAATGTACATGGTTAAATGTTTTTTTAGCTTAGTTTGAATGTTTATTAACTTATTAAAATACAGAATATTCATCAATTCCAATAAAATGGCCACTCACTATTGTCAGCATCTATATTTCAGTAATATTTGGCGAGGATGTTGCTTTTGGCGGAGTTTTCCGGTGCAGTATTGGTCTGAAGGATAAATATGGTAGGAAATTTTATATACTTTTTTAATAGTTTATGTTGTGAGCTCGTCTATACTGTTTGCTATTTAGTCAATAACGTACACAAAAAGAACTGTATTTTAAAATTTTCATTGAAAATGATCAATGATTTTGATAATCAAGCCTTCAGCTTTTCTAAATATGTTATTTTTAGATACATCATTTCACATTATTGTCAAATCAATAGAATTAAAGTGGAAAGTGAAATTTGCCATTGATAAAATATATAAACATTAAGGAATCCCTCGATACCTCTAATCTAACCTTTAATCACTGTTAAAAGGTGTGACATTGATATAATGCACTATTCCAAGATAAAATATTGAAATACTTAGTATGAAACAACACAGAATTGTTTAACCACATACAAAAAAGGCTGAAGGCTGCTTTAAGATAATTGGTAAGGATTAGTTGAAAACAAAACACTCCTAAAATTTCATAACCTAAATATCTCATTTTAAGGTTACTTTTAAGTAAACCTTGAACATTGAAATATATTACATTAAGTAATTGACTTCAAACCACTTACCCTTACCCATGTGGGTTCGAATCCTGCCAGTGACATGTGAGGAAACTATTCAGTTGTTTGTGCCTGAAATAATGCAAGTAGGTGCACCTGAGGTTGTCCTCCACCAGTAAAGCTGACCATTACAGTGTATGTGTGACAACAAAAAACCCAACAAAAGACAAAAAGTTAAGCTGTTGATGTACAAACAGAGATAATATTTTGGAAGCATAATCATTTATAAAATATAGACATCATAGTAATTGCATGCACGAAATATGGTGGTGAGTTTAACAGACCCAGGAGGTATAGAAGTACTAAAAGTGAAATGTTAAGCACCTAAATTGACTTGGATACATATTTTAAACCCATTAAACCATCCCTTAGTGTCCATTAACACCACTCATCCCAACATGTTCTTTTTCAGAATTTATTAACACCAAATTATTATCTGTGAAGTCAAAAGGTTATAGTGAGATTTTTTTGTTGTTTTTTCCTTTTTTTTTTTTTTTAAGAAATACATGAACCTCCACAAGTTGAGATTTTACTAAATGAGAGGGGTATTTCTTTTTAGCTTGTTCTTAGTTTAAAATTGTGATGGAGTTTTATTACAATTTTTAACAAATATTAACTGTTTTTGTTGCTTCTAAATGTGCAGCAATTTACCCTGCTCCAAGGGCTCTACCGCCATTTCCTCAAAAGTGAAAGTGAAAAAAGCACAGGGTTTTCATCTCCTTGGAAGAACTGAGATTTAAGGTGCCATTAGAAATTTGAATACATTACTAAGAGTTTAATACTTTCTACACACATATGATTAAAAGAAAAATCAAACAAAATCATAGAATTATTTAAACCAAACCATAATTTTTTATGTCCTATTATAAGTTTTCAAACATTGAAATTTAAACATTCTAAATTAAAATTTTATTTACACGAAACTTGCTTATCTTGACAAGGTGCAGTTTGTCACCTTAGTGCAGTAACAGGTTAACGCCTTATATAATTTAATAGGAGTTAACCCATTACTGGACCTAGGTGACAAGTTGTTAGACAAGGGGCATAATTCTGTAACCTAATTTTTTGGAGGTATTCCAATTTTTGTCAGAAGTGGTTATTTAAACAGGCGAGCATTAAAACCCCATGCTATGTGGTTTGTTTCAAATAAATGATACATGTAAATGATGTTATATGGATATTTGTATAATTAATTATTGAAATATGACTGAACTCTTAAGAGCAAATTTTATTTTGAAAATTTTAGTGTTATAAAGTACATGTAACCAAATTTTCCCTTGTTTGTTTTTTAGGTGCTGATCGTGTATTTAACACTCCTCTAAGTGAACAGGGCATTGTTGCCTTCGGTATTGGACTAGCAGTTGCTGGGGCGACTGCGGTTGCTGAAATCCAGTTTGCTGACTACATTTTTCCAGCGTTTGATCAGATTACAAACGAGGCTGCGAAATTCCGATATCGCACAGGAAACTTGTTTGACTGTGGTAAATTGACAATAAGGACGCCATGTGGGGCAGTTGGCCATGGTGCGTTATACCACTCTCAAAGTCCAGAAGCATTCTTTTCTCATATAGCAGGTGTCAAGGTATATGTTTAATCATTTTATGAATATAAATTATATTTCCCACATTTTACGATAATGTGGCATATTTTTACGATCAAGCATGTGAACATGATTAACCTTTCCAAGAGTTAAATTTCCTGGATTGTAGGTCTATAAGGTAATATGGTTTAATAGTTTTTAGCTCACATGTCACAAAGTGACAGGGTGAGCTTTTGTGATCGCTTTTCGTCCAGCGTCCGTCCGTAAACTTTTACTTTGAATGACATCTCCTCATAAACCACTAAGCCAATTTCATCCAAACTTCACAGGAATGTTCCTTTGGTGGTCACCTTTAAAAATTGTTCAAAGAATTTAATTTCATGCATAACTCTGGTTGCCATGGCAACCGAAAGAAAAAACTTTAAATATCTTCTTTTAAAAAACCCAAAGAGCTAGAGCTTAGATATTTGGCATGAAACATCTTCTAGTAAGTGTCTACCAAGTTTGTTCAAATAAAAGCCCTGGGGTCAAAATTGGCCCCGCCCCAGGGGGTCATTGATTTTCCCTATATGCATATAGTAAAAACTTAAAAAAATCTTCTTTTAAAGAACTCAAAGAGCTAGAGCTAAGATATTTAGCATGAAACATGTTCTATTGGGTGTCTACCAAGTTTGTTCAAATAAAAGCCCAGGGGTCAAAATTGGCCCCGCCCCAGGGGGTCATTGATTTTCCTTATATGTGTATAGCAAAAACTTAAAAAATCTTCTTTGAAGAAACCCAAATAGCTAGAGTTTAGATATTAAGCATGAAACATCTTCTAGTAAGTGTCTACAAAGTTTGTTCAGATAAAAGCCGTTGGGTCAAAATTGGCCCTGCCCCGGAGGTCATTGATTTTCCTTATACGTGTATAGCAAAAACTTAAAAATCTTCTTTGAAAAAACCCAAATAGCTAGAGTTTAGATATTAAGCATGAAACATCTTCTAGTAAGTGTCTACAAAGTTTGTTCAAATTAAAGCCCTGGGGTCAAAACTGGCCCCGCCCCAGGGGTGTCATTGTTTTTAAACTATATGTGTATAGTAAACTTTAAAAATCTTCTTTTAAAAAACCCAATGAGCTAGAGCTTAGATGTTTAGCATGACAAATCTTCTTATGAGTGTCTACCAAGTTTGTTCAAATAAAAGCCCTTGGGTTAAAATTGGCCCTGTCGGGTGGGGGGGGGGGAATCATTATTTTTCATTATATTTGTGTAGTAAAAATTTAACATCATGAAACATCTTCTAATGGGTGTCTTCCAAGTTTGTTAAAATAAAAGCCCTGGGGTTTAAACTCAGGGCCATCATGGCCCTCTTGTTGTTTGTTTTTATTTTATCTTTGACTTGTTATTCAATGTTATTTTGTGTTCCTAAATGTTTTTTTTGGGGGGGGGGGGGGGGGGAATTTTAGATTTTTATTTTTAGCTCGACTATTCGAAGAATATGAGAGCTATTGTAGTCGCCCCGGCGTCGGCGTCGGCGTCTGCGTTGGTTTAAGTTTTTTGTAAAGTCAAATATCTCAATCATTACTTGAGATATTCAATTGAAACTTACAATACTTATTTATAGTAACAAGGTACATCAGATTGACAAGTTGGATAACTCTGCCTACAATATTGACAGAATTATGCCCCTTTTTAACTTAGAAATTTTGGTTAAAGTTTTTTGTAAAGTCAAATATCTCAATTATTGCTTGAGATATTCAATTGAAACTTACAATACTTATTCATAGTAACAAGGTACATCAGATTAACAAGTTGGATAACTCTGCCTACAATATTGACAGAATTATGCCCCTTTTTAACTTAGAAATTTTGGTTAAAGTTTTTTGAAAAGTCAAATATCTCAATTATTGCTTGAGATATTCAATTGAAACTTACAATACTTATTCATAGTAACAAGGTACATCAGATTGACAAGTTGGATAACTCTGCCTACAATATTGACAGAATTATGCCCCTTTTTAACTTAGAAATTTTGGTTAAAGTTTTTTGTAAAGTCAAATATCTCAATTATTGCTTGAGATATTCAATTGAAACTTACAATACTTATTCATAGTAACAAGGTACATCAGATTGACAAGTTGGATAACTCTGCCTACAATATTGACAGAATTATGCCCCTTTTTAACTTAGAAATTTTGGTTAAAGTTTTTTGTAAAGTCAAATATCTCAATTATTGCTTGAGATATTCAATTGAAACTTACAATACTTATTTATAGTAACAAGGTACATCAGATTGACAAGTTAGATAACTCTGCCTACAATATTGACAGAATTATGCCCCTTTGGAACTTAGAAATTTTGGTTAAAGTTTTTTTGTAAAGTCAAATATCTCAATTATTGCTTGAGATATTCAATTGAAATTTAAAATACTTTTTTATAGTAACAATGTACATCAGTTGCAAAATTGCATAACTCTGCCTGCAATATTTGCAGAATTATTTGCCCCCTTTGAAACTTAGAAATTTTGGTTAAAGGTTAAAGGTCTTCAAAGATATTTACTTGAAACTCTCTCTAAGGCCTATAACATGAATTTATAAAAAAAAATTAGCCCTTTTGTGATCTTAAAAAATTTAACATTATCAAGGCTCTTTTACTATCAAACACTTAGAATAGTCGAGCGTGCTGTCCTACCGACAGCTCTTGTTAGATACCCAGATCTCATGTTGATACAAATTGTATCATTGATTTGTTCTTCTTTACACTAGTAATAAAGTATAAAGAAATGTAAATATCATTTTTGCTTGTCTATAGTATTGTTTATCCGTTTAAATTTGAGTCATATATTCGCTTTTTTATGCCACCGCAGCATCTGCGATGCGGTGGCATATAGCGATTCACCTGTGTGTGTGTGTGTGTGTGTGTGTGTTTGTTTGTGTGTGTGTGTGTGTTATATAGATTATATAGTGAACTTAAAAAATCTTCTTGTGAAAAACCACTAGTCCAATTTCAACCAAACTTGGCAGGATTGATCCATGGGTGAAGGGCTTCTAAAGTTGTTCAAAGAATTTCATTCCATGCAGAAATCTGGTTGCCATGGCAACCAAAAGGAATTATAAGAATAAATTTAAAAAATCTTCTTGTAAAGACCCAAAAGGCCTAGAGCTTAGATATTTTGCATAAGGCATTGTCTGGTAGACCTCTACCAAGATTGTTCAAATTATAACCCTGGGGTCAAAATCGGCCCCGCCCCAGGGGTCATTGATTTTCACTATATGTACATATAGTTAAAACTTAAAATACCTTCTTGTCTGAAGGTACTAGGCTTAGAGGTTTGATATTTGTTATGTGTTATTATCTATAGGTTCTCTACCAAAGTTGTTCAAATTTTGCCTCTAGTGTCAAAATCAGCCCCAGCCCAGGGGTCATAGGTTTTCCTTATATGTATATAGTAAAAACTTAAAAATCATCTTCTCTAAATTCACAAAGGCTAGAGGTTAGATATTTTGCATGAAACATTGTGTAGTGAACCTTTAGCAAGATTGTACAAATTATAGCCCTGGGGTCAAAATTGGCCCCGCCCCGGGGGTCATTGGTTTTCACTATGTACATATAGTAAAAAATTAAAAAAACTTCTTGTCTGAAGGTACAAGGCTTAGAGCTTTGATATTTGGTATATGATATCATCTATAGGTACTCTACCAAAGTTGTTCAAATTTTGCCTCTAGTGTCAAAACTAGCCCCGCCCCGGGGGTCATAGGTTTTCCTTACATGTATATAGTAAAAACTTTAAAAAATCTTCTCTAATTGACAAAGGCTAGAGGTTAGACATTTTGCATTAAACATTGTGTAGTGAACCTCTAGCAAGATTATTCAAATTAAAGCCCTGGCCAGTGTTCACTAAGAAATAAGTGATCCTGATTTTATTTTCACTTTTTTATGTTACTTAAAATTAATCGTGTTTTGCTGGAATTAAATGGTAAATATTCAAAATGTAAAAAATTGCTGATTTGCAAAGAAACAAAACTATTTTGGGATAAAATCAACAAATAACAAAACAAATGCAAAAATATTTGGATCAATTTTAGGATCAGAATCAATATTTGGATCAACTATAAAAAGCCCATATCTTGCAAAAATAGCAATAAATTTATTCTTAAAGTTCATAAACTTGCTATTGCAAGTCAATTTTTATCAAATTAATATAAGACATTTAATCTATAAGGATAAACAATGAAGAATATTTGAGTTTTTAAACTTGATCCTGATCTTGATCCTGATCCTTAAATCTTTGTGAGCACGGGGCCTGGGGTCAAAATTGGCCCTGCCCCTTGGGATCATTGATTTTCAGTCACTATGTCTTAAAGTAAAAAATTAAAAATCTTATTTCTGAAGGTACTTATCTGATAAAAACAGAGAGGTAAGTGATCTATGCATTATGGCAATCTGTATAGAAACAAAAAAAAATGTGTTCCTACATTACTATTTAGTGTTGTATTTATGCGGTGGCATGGCATTTTTTACAAATGCAATCTTGTTTTATATTATTTTTAGCTCACCTGGCACAAAGTGACTAGGTTAGCTTTTGTGATCTCTTTTTGTCGGCATTCATCCATCCGATGTTTGTCTGTAAACTTTTTCTTTTAAGGACATTTCCTCCTAAATCCCCCAGCCAATTTCATTCAAACATCACAGAAAATTAATGTTCCTTTGATGCTCACCTCTGAAATTTATTCATAGAATTTAAATCAAGTCTGAACTCTCAGGTTGCCATGGCAACCAAAAGAAAAAAAACTTTAAAAATCTTCTTTAAAAAAAACCCAAAGCACTAGAGCTTGGACATTTAACATATAACATCTTCTAGTGAGTATCCACCAAGTTTGTTTAAAAAGAAGCCCTAGGTCAAATTTGGGTCATTGATTTTCCTTACATGTTTATAGGAAAAATTTAAAAAATCTTCATTTAAAAAACCCAAAGAGCAAGAGCTTAGATATTTATCATGAAACATTTTTTTAGTGAGTGATAACCAAGTTTGTTCAAATAAAATACCTGGGGTCAAAATTTGCAGGCCCGAGGGTCATTGATTTTCTTCATATGCGTATAATAAAAACTTTAAAAATCTTCTTTTAATAAAGTTTACCCAAAAAGCTAGAGCTTAGATATTCAGCATGAAGCATGGAAGTTTCCTACCCAGAAAAGAAAAAATGATAGGCTATTGTCAAGTCACGTTGTTTTGCAATGCTAAAGTCACGTAGGCAATTAAGAGTGCAAATAAGTGGACTATATAAGGGTTGAATATTTATAGAAATTAATTGCTTTATCAATAACATTAACTTTGCAAAAACACTCAGTGACTGCTGGAACAGTCTTTATATAATGCCACTATCCATCCTTTCTGATATTTTGGTTATATTTTTTAAATCATCCCTTTATAGAAAGTTCTTTGACTCAGGTTACAATCATTATGATTAAAGTTCTTTGTAAAATATAGAAAACCTATGCTGTCCTCAGTTCTAGTTCTGATGATATTTTGAATTCTTCATTTACATTTTTATTATAATGTAAAATTCAGTGTGTTTTTTTATCCCACCTAAGCACAAAGTGCACAGATATGATCTTTCTGTGATGGCAGTGTGTCCATGGTACCTTAAGTGGTCTAATTAGCTAAAATTTGTTATGTTGTGGCATTCAGCTGTACTTGTTTTCAGTACAAGTTTTCATATCATCTAGTTTTTTTACTGACATCTTTTTTATGGTTTTGCTTCTAAACAACCTTGTTTCCTCAAAACAGAAGTAGAGTTGACATGTACTGTACATGTTCTAGTCCTATGAGAAATATACAGTTGCTGTGTAATATGCTGGGCTAGCAAATCATACATGTGATTTAACAGATTCAAAATTGTTGGATGCAGAAAACAGAGCCCCAGAAGTATTAAATATACAAATGTGACAATGAGTGGCATGATTCATTACCCTAACAAACAACTTCACAGTGGCCAGTGTTGATTTTATACTATAATCAGTGATTTTCCTGCTTATATAACAGACTCCGATAAAAGGCCTCTTCCCAATTGGGATTTTCTTTAAAATCATGCAGTTTTCCCAAAAATGTGAACTTAAACCTGTTTTTTTACTTCCCAAATTAGCAATTTTAGTGATAATTATTCCCAAAATCAAGTGGCTAAGGCCTCTTCCTAATTAAGTGAGAAAAATCACTGATAATAATCCAAACCGGTCTATTTTATAGAATTGGTCAACTTATAGAAAGTGGCAATTGGTCGAATTTTTTTTATGTCAAAAATTTGTAAAATTTGCTGAAAAATGAATGAAAGAAATAACATAAAATGTGGGTCAAAGTAGTTAAATACATGTATATATCAGATATGTCATTCTTTGCATATTGTGAAATAGAACTAATCCGAGAGTAGATCGAGTGACATTGAATCAGTACCGCTACAGACCACGGCTGTTACAAATTTAAGCCTTTTAGATGTTTTAAAGCGATATATAAAGTTTTGCAAGTACAATTTATGTAAATATACATGTAAATATCGTAAATGATCGTAAATGATCTATTAATCAGTTAATAAAAATTGCTGGTTACCTTTCCACTACATCCGCCTTTGTCCGCGGTCGTAAGTGTCTGTGAAAACTTGCCAGTGGCCACATCAGCAGTTTCACATTTGCTAATAAGCATATCACGCTCATCAGTTGTCCAATTAACTTTTCTTGCCTTGTCAGACATCGCTGAATTGTAGCACACGTCGTATTAAAAGTATGACATTAAAATGCGCGTTACCTCCTTTTTTGAAGAGTACGTGTTAGTGCGCAGGCGTAAGAATCGTACGCTTATGAAAATTGTAAGATTTTAGGTTGAACGTACGACCGCGTTGATAAGACAGTCTTACGATCGAGCGTACGACAATCGTAGATCAAAATCGTAAGCTAAGATTTCCAAAATCGTACGATCGTTGATAAGACTGGCCCCTGATGTTGACCACCTGCATGTTGTATCAAAAAAGCATATTTACACAATTTATCATAAGTCATCTTGAACTGCCTTAAGAAAACAGATTGAAACAGATAAAAAAAAAGACAGATTAAATTTATCAACTAGCAAATATAAGTCAGGTGATGTTAAAGGCATGGTTCATGTTGAAGAAATGTACCCAAGGCATTTCAGGGTAAAAAATAAACTTTGGACAAGGGAAAATAGCCTTTATTTGGCTGAGGATATATGGAAAAAAAAAAATCCTGCATGTTTATAATTAAGGTACTATAAATAAACGAAAAGCGTAATATTCATCTAAGGCATTTAGAAAACAATTTGTTTTATTGGGACCATTATTAAAGATAAGAAAAAAGCAATTTGTGCAATTTTTAACTTCCATTCCAGCTAAGTTTCACAAAGACCCAAGTCTATTAATAGCTTCTTCTATAGTTAAGTATGCATACAAATATTTATTTACATTTGAACTGTCAATTGGATTCACCCTTTTTGGTGCCCCTCTTATGATAAACTGTTAAAAAGAAATATAGTTGTACTACTTTTGAGAAATATAAACACAAATTACAGTGCTAAATCTCAAATAAATAAATTCATAACGCTACTTGCACTGAAGGTAGACAATATCTTTTAGCTTTTACTGAAAACAGTGTCAAACAGTACCTTGTTGTCCTTTGCAAAAAAATGATTGTTCATGCCACTTGGATCAGACTCTGCCCTACCAGGGAGTCTCTGAAAGTTCAATACCTAGAGCACAGATATCTGGCATGTAGCATCACCTTGTGTAGATCCACAAAAGTTACACAAATCATGCCACTCAAAGGATTGTTGATATAGACTTTTAAAGGAAAACGATTCCTAGCAGACGTCTACAAATGTTTTATAGATCATGTCATTGTGAACAGAAATGAGAAACCCATTTTCAACTAATTACATCTGTTTTGAAGGATGTATTGGTTTAAATATATTTATTTAAGCTTGATTGCGAAACAAGTTCTTGCAACTTATTTTAATCACTTTCGGGTCCACCTCCTGGAACCAACCATTTCTTGTGTCATATGAAGAAACATTGTCCTGACCCTATTAGGGCTTAAAACCAATGATCCACGAAGGGTATATTGACCTTCCTTAGCAATGGACATTAGGTTAGCAATTTAGGTCTTTTATGGCTCTCTTCTTATTACAATGCACATTTAACACAATTTGGACCATTACCCAAACAAGATGCCTAGTATGACTGTGTTTTTCTTTCTTCAAAGCTTCTTTTATTATTTACACAGGTTGTGATGCCCAGAGGTCCAATCCAGGCTAAAGGACTGTTACTAAGTTGTATAAAAGAAGAAGATCCATGTATATTTTTTGAACCAAAGATTTTATATAGAGCAGCTATAGAAGAAGTACCCACCGGTGATTACACAATACCATTAGGCAAAGCTGAAGTTGTAATTGAAGGTAAATTTGAATTTTACAGATTATATTTTTTATGTCAATATAGTCAAATCCAAGTGGGTTTGTGACCACCTCTCCCCCAGTATCCACACACGAGATCTAGGTAATCCTTAACAGTACTTTTATTGACATATGACATTCACTGTGAACAACTGTGAGTTGTCTCCCTTCAAACACTAAATACTGATAAGACAGCAGCTGCTGTTGTCACTCCTCTGTTTTCCCCTGGTATTTGATATTTGAAATTACAATAACAATTTTTAGCTCACCTGTCACAAAGTGACAGGGTGAGCTTTTGTGATCGCTTTTTGTCCTGCGTCCGTCGTCTGTCCGTCCGTCCGTCGTCCGTAAACTTTTACTTTAAATGACATCTCCTCATATAAACCACAAGGCCAATTTCATTCCAAACTTCACAGGAATGTTCCTTTGGTGGTCACCTTTAAAAATTGTTCAAAAGAATTTAATTCCATGCAGAACACTGGTTGCCATGGCAACCGAAAGAAAAAACTTTTAATATCTTCTTTTAAAAAACCATAAGAGCTAGAGCTTAGATATTTGGCATGAAACATTCTTCTAGTGAGTGTCTACCAAGTTTTGTTCAAATAAAAAGCCTGGGGTCAAAATTGGCCCCGCCCCGGGGGGTCATTGATTTTCCCTATATGCATATAGTAAAAACTTAAAAATTCTTCTTTTAAAGAACTCAAAGAGCTATGGCTAAGATATTGAGCATCAAACATGTTTCTAATAGGTGTCTACCAAGTTTGTTCAAAGAAAAGCCCTGGGGTCAAAATTGGCCCCGCCCCAGGGGGTCATTGATTTTCCCTATATGCATATAGTAAAAACTTTAAAAAATCTTCTTTTAAAGAACCAAAAGAGTTACAGCTAAGATATTTAGCATGAAACATGTTCTTATAAGTGTCTACCAAGTTTGTTCAAATAAAAGCCCTGGGGTCAAAATTGACCCCGCCCCGGGGTCATTGATTTTCCCTATATATGCATATAGTAAAAACTTAAAAAATCTTCTTTTAAAGAACTCAAAAGAGCTATGGTTAAGATATTTAGCATCAAACATGTTTCTAATAGGTGTCTACCAAGTTTGTTCAAATAAAAGGCCTAGGGGGTCAAAATTGGCCCGCCCCAGGGGTTCATAGATTTTCCTTATATGTGTTATAGCAAAAACTTAAAAAAATCTTTTTTGAAAAAACCCAAATAGCTAGAGTTAAGATATTAAGCATGAAACATCTTTTAGTGAGTGCTACCAAGTTTGTTCAAATAAAAGACCTTGGGTCAAAATTGGGCCCGCCCCGGGGTCATTGATTTTCCCTTATATGTGTATATGCAAAAACTTTAAAATCTTCTTTGAAAAAACCCAAATAGCTAGAGTTAGATATTAAGCTCATGAAATATATTCTAGTAAGTGTCTAACAAAGTTTTGTTCAAATAAAAACCCTGGGGTCATAACTTGGCCCGGCCCAGGGGTGTCATTGTTTTTAACTATATGTGTATAGTAAAAACTTTAAAAAAATCTTCTTTTTAAATAGCCCAATAAGCTAGAGCTTTAGATGTTTAGCATGAAACATCTTCTTATGGGTATCTACCAAGTTTGTGCAAATAAAAGCCCTTTGGTTAAATTGGCCCTGCAACGTTTGGGGGGGGGGGGGGCTTTATACAGGTGAGCGACCTCAGGGCCATCATGGGCCCTCTTGTTTCTTCAATTTGATGACCATTTTTTTTGGTAGAATATTTCATAAGGGGTATTTGGGAACAAAGTTTTTGTAAATTAACACATATTGTACTTTAACAGAATAAAATGTTTAGGAACAAAATATTATTCTGCTATTTTGATAGGGTTTTTGCTCTCAAACGATGATTTCATGTATATGCCATTTGCTTTGAAGGCAAAATTTGAAAACTACATGTACTACATGTATTTTTTTTCATACAAGCATTTTGGAAGATACAAGCATTTTGGAAGTATTCTTTTTTAAGCTCACCTGTCACAAAAGTGACAAATGGGGAGCTTTGTGATCAACTTTCTGGCGTTCCCGGTCGTAAACTTTTACTTTAAACAACATCTC